GAGCAGATTGAGGACTGAATTGAGAAGGAACTTCTTCACCCAGACGGTTGTTAATCTATGGAATTCCTTGCCCAGTGGAGTAGTTCACACTACTTCAGTAAACGTTTTTAAAAGATAAGGTAGATATTTTTTGGAACAATAAAGGAATTAAGGGATACGATGAGAACGCGGGTAAGTGGATCTGAGTCCACGAAAAGATCAGCCATGATCTTATTGAATGGCGGAGCAGGCTCGAAGGGCCGGATGGCCTACTCCTGCTCCTAGCTCTTATGTTCTTTGTAGAACTTGTTGCATGCAAATTAATTGACATATTTTCTACATTATAACTGTCAGTACACTTCAAATATAGTTATTTGGCAATGGTAGTGTTTTTGGACAATCTGAAGTTGCAAAAGGTACTATGTAAATGCAAGTTACCTTTATCTGAGTGAAGTAACTGAACTAAGTATGAATAAAAACACACTAAAGAAGTAAAAGCTGCATGAAACCCAAAGGTTTAAAAGGACTAAGATAAATACAAGAACTTGGGGAAAAACAAACTTTATTAAAAAAAAGCTTGGGAAATTAAAACACAAGTCACTGGCAAAGTAATGCAGCTCCACAACTTCAAGAACATAAAGCTAGTCAGGAGAGAAAACTAAACACCAGCAAGCTCTGAATTCTGACAGAATTACTTAACTTCACAAGACATCAACTTGCCCACCCATTTCCAAACACCAATAGATTCAGCATGGGTCAGCAGAACCCTGCTTGTTGTGATGGAAAGAGAATTGAAATCAAATGGGCACTTTGGGGCAGCACAGTGGCTCAGTGGTTAGCACTGCTGCCTCACAGCACCAGCAACCAGGGTTCGAATCGGCCCTTGGGCAACTGTGTAGAGTTCGCACAATCTCCGTGTCTGCATGGGTTTCCTCCGGGTACTCCAGTTTCCTCCCACAGTCCAAAGATGTGCAGGTTAGATGGATTGGCCATGCTAAATTGCCCGTAGTGTTCAGCAATGTGTAGATTAGGTGGGTTATAGGGGGATGGGTCTGGGTGGGATGTTCTGAGGGTCAGTGTGGACTTGTTGGGCCGAAGGGCCTGTTTCCACACTGTAGGAATCCTATTATGTAATGTCCAGAAGAAATGTTCAGATATCATTTTTGAAGCTTGTAATAAAGTTTCTGTCCACCTGGGATAACGCAATTTTTTTTATAGCCAGTGAATTCCCAAATAATGTTACATTGTAATCATCTGACAGATGTGGTCTAGCTTCAAACAGAAATGGGATACCCTGCAGCCCAATGGCATCAATGTAGACTTCACAAGCTTCAAAAGCTCCCCTCCCCCTACCGCATCTCAAAACCAGCCCAGCTCATCCCCGCCTCCCTAACTTGTCCTTCCGCCCACCTATCTCCTCCTCAAGCCCCACCCCTATCTCCTACCTACTAACCTCATCCTGCCCCTTGACCTGTCCGTCCTCCCTACCTCTCCACCTACACTCACCTTAACTGGCTCCGTCCCCGCCTCTTTGACTGGTCTATCTCTTCTCCACCTATCTTCTCCTCTATCCATCTCGTATCCGCCTCCCCCTCTATCCCTATTTATTTCAGGACCCTTTTCCCCTCCCCCATTTCTGAAGGAGGGGGGTCTAGGCCCGAAACGTCAGTCTTCCTGCTCCTCTGATACTGCTTGGCCTGCTGTGTTCATCCAGCTCTACACCTTGTTATCTCAGATTCTCCAGCATCTGCAGTTCCTACTATCTCTAATACTAAACCATTTTGGCTTGAAGGTTTCTTTAAATAAAAGTGTGTAAAAGTGCCTGTTCTACAACCGTGTTGCATTCTCAGAACGGTTACATGCCTGAAGCATTAAAGGCAGCTGTTCTCTCTACAGCAGCTATCTAAGCTTTTAAGCAATTCTGCTGTTTTGTATTTGCACATTTTGACTTGCTTTTCTATAAAATGAAATTGCAAAGATAAACAGGTGCTCTGAAAAATAAAAAAAAACTCAACAGCCTTTACATATCCAAGCTTCTGTATTAATACATTTAAGATTGTGATTCGAAGAAACCCTCTCTCAGAGAATTGAGACACTTTGGAACTCTTTTCCCTCAAAAGAGCGTGGAAGAAGAATCTTTAATAATGTCAAG